GAGTGTAGGGCTTGAATGTCAGGGCCTTGGCTTTATTGAATTTAGTCCCACAAATCTAGCATTTAATAAACGGGGAATCCAGCATAAGTTACAGCAATCTAATAACGTTCAGACTAAGTTTGTGCAGAACTGGCCAGAGACACTGTAAAGGTGAATCAACATCCAAGGGCCACCCCTGCTGGTCATTAACCAGAATGCAGGTTTAAGGAACTTATGCATTTCAGACCCAGAGGTTACCTCTGAACGATCTCATATACTCCAAGATTGCAGGTGACCTTTCAAGGACCAAACATTGATCTTAAGCCCCAGAAACTTTGGTTTGTGTCCCATGTGAAGCTAAAAGTAAATGTGGAACTATTTTAGACTCTCTGAACTCGTGTTTTCAGATTTAAAAATATCTGTTTTCACACTTTGGTTAAGTTTTCGCTGTAAAACTATTTCTGGCCTTTAGGATTCTTATGAACTGACTTTACATCAGTGACAGACGCTGAAAGACTTTTTTAAGCGGGTGGCATTTCTTAAGATGAATATCGATGTTATTTTGTTCTCATTCAGATTGTGCAATATTACTTAACGGTATGTTATTGAATGTTTGTTTCATTCCCCCAGCATACGCTGCTACTCTCTTTTTATTCATTGCACAATACTATGTCACTTTTTTATAAGCACCTGCACTGATTGTTATGTTATTTATTTTACTGGAATAATTATATCGTCACTTTGTTTGAGTTGTTTGACATTATATTTGCATTATGCTATTGTATACTACTGTAAATTACTGTATCCTACCATTCTTATTGTATATTATTATATGTCTTTATTTCTCTGTTCCTATGTCTGGTAATTAAGAGAGATTTATGACCTTGTTTATAACCTAAAAGCTGCATGAAACACAGAGCAGTCAGTGTGAGATGAGTGTTTGTAGTCCATCAGTGGGACATTGTAGTTTCACCACAGCTGACCCACGTCAGTGACATCCACCGTCGCTTTATTAGGTAGTTTGGTGTCTGGAGTGGAGTCAGACTTCACATTTTTTCTTGACTTCGTGATTTTTTTCTCCCACTGGGGAAAAGGAAAAGAGATTAGAGATTAGGATTGAATTGCAGCCTACTTCTATACAATAAAATTAAGCTGG